TGTAGCTTTCCCTTGGAGGATTCAGGCCCTAAAATGTTACATTATTTTTGGGGGATGAGATTTTTGAAAATCCCAGTAGCAAATTAACCAACTATAGCACCAAGCAAGCATCATTATTATGCATGATCACATTAGCTACTATTGATGAACTAACATGCTTATCATTTGGAAAACTAAATCATGCAAAGGCCAAAGCGAGATACTATAAAGAGCAGCCACATAACAATCAAGAGAGCTCAACCACAATAATAGCAATTAACCATACAATAATCAACAATGCTAGTTAGTGGTAGTAGCTAGGTTTAACTTGCTACCTTGATCCAAAGATTTGTGCTTTCTTTGATTCTCTTCTTTTTCTTCACAAAGGTCAAACCCGAGCATCATAATCCATAAAAATGACAACAAGAATCATTATCCATTTCAACCAAAAGCAAGAACATAACTAAAAAATACTCTTGCTTCATAAAGGTTCCATCTTTGCTATTTGCTTTTGAACTTGTTTTCCATAGGGTTTAAAAATCCTTTCTTGCCTTATCCCCACATGTTTTTCCATTTTAAACACCATGGAACCATCAAAACATTAAAAATTTCATCCTAGGGGCCATTTAGTGTCAAAACCGAAATGCTCCTTACAATACACAATAAAGAACACACTTCCAAACACCCTAAAATCACTTGTAACCACTTGGATCTTTTATGTTTTGAAGTGTTTTACCATATTTGAGCAACATAACTCCTTTCCCTACACCATCATCATTTCGTCCAGCACCCAAAGAATAGGAGAAACAAGAATTCCAACCATACAAAGCAAGAAAACAAGGCAAGGAACAACTTAGAACCAAAAACTAACCTTGAATCTCACTTGTGTGCTCCAAGATGCTATCTTTCTTCTTAGTTCTTCCTTGGTTCTACTTGAAACACTCTCTTTTATCTCTTGGCTATGGCTTGCACGAAATGGAGGTCTGATTTTAGGGGAGGAAGTGCTCATTTAATACTTCAAAATATCTCAACCACCACCATTAATGCTAATCCAAGTGTCACTACCCCCTTGGTTCCTTCTTTCTCTTTCCTAATTAACTAAATCCAAATGAAATTAATTACCAAAAGTCAAAATTCTCTCCATTTAGAAAATGACACTTGGCAATTTCAAATCCTCTCCATTAAGGGCTTGACACTTGGCTCAATGAGGATCATTCAAAATGCAAAGCTCTTTATCGGTGCACTTTGACTCCGGGTTTGAATCCTTTTCTATAATTACAGTATTCTAAGCTCTGTAATTATTTTCTATCAGAGCCCTATTTTATTCTCCTCATGTTTATCTTTCTAAATTGCCCTCTTTTGTCTCGAAATTAATTTCCCCATAATTAACATAAAAGGAAAAATTAATTTCCTTTTCTTACGGATTTTTCCGCTTTTCAAAGAATTTAGGGAAAATCTTGGATACTTGAGGGTTTTCTTTTAATTCCATAATTTCTTATAATTCCTTGAGATATCATAGGAATTTTCTTGAACCTTTATTCTCCTTAAAATATTTATTTGAAATTTTCCAAATAAAAGCCCTTAAATTAGGCTAAATCACCCTTAAATTCCTTTGTAATTTCTCTAAGGGTAATTTGACCTTAAAACTAATTTTATAATCTCATATAATTCTCAAAGGATATTATCCTTATTTTTCCCTCAATTTCTATGACTTGGAATATTTTTCCCATAATTATTCTTGACCAATTTTTCTTAATTAGTCAAACTTTTCATAATTGGCTTGGAAAATCATAATAATTATTTTCCACCAAAATCCTTCTATTTCTCATTATTTTTGACCCTCAATTATTTAGGAATATTCCTTATTTCGAATTATCATAATACTGGATGTGACATTTCTCCCCCCTAAATAAATTTTGTCCTCGAAATTTAAAGCGTACCTTAATGGAAAAGTTCTGAGTACTTCTCCTTCATTTCGGTCTCCATCTCTAATGTGGTTTCTTCAGATGAAAGACCCTCCCAGACCACTTTGACCAGTGGAATTTGCTTGTTCCTTAGCTGTTTGACCTTCTGATCAATGATTCGCTATGGTCTAACCTCAAAAGACAGGTTGTCTCAAAGCATAATGTCATCATAGTTTATGACATGTGTCGGGTCTGGATGGTACTTCTTTCATTGGGAGACATGGAAGACATTATGAATCCAATTCAAATTCAAGGGGAGGGCCAACTTGTAAGCTACTGGTCCAGCTCTGGTCAAAATCTGAAATGATTCAACATACTTTGGACCCAGCTTCTTAGTCTTTGAGGATCGACCGACTTCCCTTATTGTTACACTTTAATCACCAACCTCAACCTTTAACGGTCTCCTTTAATGTCTGGGTAGCTCTTCTGTTTATTTTGAGCCGTTAGAAGTCTTTGTTGAATAACTTTAATCTACTAGGAAGTCTGATCCACTATCTTAGGACCATACTTACTTCTTTCATTGAGTTCTATCCAGCACAAGGGAGAGCTATACTTCCTCCTAAAGAGTGCTTTGTATGGTGCCATTTGGATACTTGCATAGAAATTACCATCTTACGCTACTTCAGCTAACGGTAAGTACGCCTCCAAGTTACCATCAAAAATAAGCGCAGATGCGTACATTGAATCTGAGGGTAGTGTCCACTTCTTTTATAAGGACCCCCAAAACTTCAAGTAAATCTCGGGTCTTAGTCCGAAACCATACTGCTCAGGACACTCGGTAGCCTAACAGCTTCCTTAACCTTTACCTTTCATTCTTTGCTAGACTTAGTGCATTCTTACCAAAAGAGCTAACACTTTTGGCTTTTGCACCCTCTTATATTACTTTCCAAAGGTTACCTATCACTGGGTTACTCTTGCTCAGGCACGCTTAAGTGAACAGTGCTGACGGGAATCTGAGGCACTGATTCTGATAGGTTCAACTTTGGCACTTTACTATCTTAGACCCTTTCCTGACCTACCTTTAGTAGGGTCTTTTTAGCTCACATTCTTGTCTCTTGCCTCATCTTAAGGATTTGCCCGTCAATACTCAGTCTGTCTCTGTATCGGATGGAGTTCTTCCTGTATTTAGAGCTAGCCTGAATGTCTCTTGTTCAGGTCTTACAGCTCTAATTCTTCTAACTTTGGCTTTCCTCTATCAATTGGAAGGAAATTGAGCCCAGCCTAACTAATGATAAGGTTATCTCGAAGGAAGTCATAGGTACTCTCTCAGTATCAGTTTACAACCGAAGGAGGCTTCTATAACTTCAACTCATCCCTAGTCCTTATCTTCCCAGAGAGGTACTGATCCCTGGGGGACATAGACTATAGGACCAAGTAAAGTTACCTTCGCTCAGTTGGTCACCTAACTGATAATTCCCCAAAACTATTTCCAAGAACCAATACCATTCCCTTGGGCCTTGTGTCAATTTCCTAGGCTATCTATTTATCTCTTTAGGTGCCTAAGCCAATCTATCTTAGGAATTCTCTTATTCCTTCAGCTGCTCTTACCATTTCTTATTATTTTAGAATGGTGCAGAGAGAGGACTTATGCAACTTCTCTTTCCTCTACCTTACCTTTCAGTATGAGCATACTTTAACATGCATAATGCCTAGCATTTCAATGCAAGAAGTACAAGCTCTTACTGGTTGCTATGTCTGTAGCGTGCCATCCAGACATCTTATCCCTTCCAAAGGGAGCCTCTCTTTCTGCTTGCAGCTGCTTCTGGAAGTCATAGGGAGAGGACTTTTGAGGTTCTTCTTCTTTCTACTTGCTCTAGTACTCTGCTAAGCTCAAATACATCTAAGCCTAGCTTCGTTCTTCGCTAGTCATACTTCCATTGGGTAAGGTCAACTCCACTGGCCTTGCCTCTGCTACTTCCCTTTCCTGCTCGGATAGGGCATCTTGCTCTATCTTGAGCAATGTGAATTCTAATCTAGAGGACCAATTCCCACCCACTCTAGGAAAACTCCTAGCCAAGACCTTATCCCCTGAAAAGGGTGCCTCTCAACCTAAACCCCAAGCGACTGAGTATCTCTTAACATTAAGGGAACATGCCAACCTCTAAGCTAGTTCCCTGCATAGCTATCTGTCTCATCCTCCTCTTCTTAATCCTTATGACATTTCACTAGGGCTCTCCATTTTGACTGCACTATCTCCAAGTTCCTATTCATCTATTCCAGGACTTGAGATAGCTACTCTATCATGGTGCCCTAGCCCTAACGAGGCTGTAAGAGTTTGTCTAGCTTAGGTGACTACTTCCACCTTTCTAGTGGCATGTACACTCAACCTCTAACTGTCTTGTATAACTTCTTATCATTACTTTTCTTTTTTAAGGGGGAATCTGGTAATTCTAAATAGTGGCTACTGCTCTCTTCTTAACTTTTACTTATCTTACTCTCTGCGACCTTTAAAAGTCGTTACGTCTCGTTGAGATACTACCTCAACATCTGAGAGTTATTGTGTTTGTTCATCATGACTAGAATCATTGTTTGCAGCAATGGAAGTTACTACCTCCTTTGGTAACCACTCTGTATTCATCCATTGCCACTAATTCCCTTGGTTTATCATGACTTACATAGCTTCATTCATCGTACCATTGCCCGTATGGGCTTCCGTTACGAAGTTTAACTTAACTTCCGGATTTTACTGCATTTCTCTTAGGGGTAGAATCAAGGTTTTGTCCTTGCCATTGTGGGACACAACCAATTCAATCCAATTACCTCATCAATTTCATATAAGACATACATATTAAGTTTAAGGCAGTAAACAATGCTCACAACAACTATATAGTTTAAGCACACATCAGATGTAATTATCTTATAATGTGTTGGCATGGACACATAGATCATACAGCAACATATTCGTAACTACGCCAAGTCTTTAGCTCAGGCATACAAAATAAGGGAATTACTAGCACCCTAATTAAACATTGCAATCACTGGGAGGTTGTTAATAATGATCATGCCTTAGATCATTTCTGGTGACTTCTGGGCTTCTTCCTGTATGATGGTAAATACTCATCCTTGGGTGCGTGGCCTTGCCTTTTCCGTGTTCTGTGGACATTCTCTCGAGAAGTGTCCGGGGTTGCTGCAAGTATAGCAAACATTCTGCCCGGCCATACACGATCTATCACCGTGACTCTTGCCGCACGTTGGACATTCTTTGTCGTTCGAGGGCTTGCCTCCTTTCTTATTCTTTTGATTATCCCATGGCCTCCTTCTCTTCCTATTGGCATTTGAGGAGGTGCCACCTTGACCTCCCTTCTCTGCTCTAGGAGTTGTCTTGACTATCATGTGATGGTTTAAGCTACTTTCTGTGATTCGGCAGGCCTCCACTGCCTTGTTGAATTGTTCAAATTGTCTGGGAGCAATCATCTCCCTCAAAGATGGCCTCAGTCCTCGAACCATCTTCTCCGTCATCCACCGCTCATCATCTCGGTAACGTAGGTAACTAGAATAGTGGGAGAGACGGATAAACCTAGCTAAATACTCGTCAAATGGCTCATTATCCTTCTGTTTCAAGGTCAAGAATTCTGCTTCCCTTTCATCCCTGACTGACCTTGGAAAATATTTCTCATAGAATTGCTCGAGGAACACTTCCCATGTCACCCTCGTGTTCCAAGCATCCAGGATAAGTTCAGTATTCTTCCACCAGCGGTCAGCATCTTTCTCTAATTTGTAAATTGCCATCTGAGCTTTCCACTCTTTCGGGCAGTCTAATACTTTAAAAATCTTCTCCAAGCAGTTAATCCAGTCTTCTACCACTTGGACGTCAAACACTCTGTCAAATGATGGTGGGTTGTGTTTACAGAAATGTGCCATCCCTTGCTGGATACTGTCAGGGTCTACTGCTGGCATTGCCATTCTAGGTAATAGTTCTGTTGCTTGCGCCACTGAAGTTTCTTCCTCTGGCTGCCTCCTATTGAGGTTAGCCATTGCTGCTGCCACCGCTGCAGCTATCGCGGCATCCCTCTCTTGTTCTCGGTGAGCCTATGCTGCTCTCATCTCTTCGATGGTCTTCTGCTGTTGCTCGAGACGATCCATAATTATTTGTAGTGGGTCAGGAGGGACCCTTGCGTCTTGCACTAGGGGTCTTTCTAATGAAGGGTTTTGTCGAGTTCTAACCATCGTATTTAACTACTCAGATAGTATAATAAAGGAACAAGAAGTAAACATCATGCTTGGATTTCATTTACCAAAACATTCAGCATACAATACTTATGCATCAACCAAAGCAGCAAGTTCATAACATACATATAAAAAGCAAACAATATTATAACCAAGCATCGCCAGTCTAACCTACTATTTGATCCAGGCGACAAGATGCCTTCACCCACGAGGGTAAATATGGAAGCATGTGCATTATCATATAATCCTAGTCCTCAGTATTTAGATAAAAGTTATCTAATCTATACGTCTGATACAACACCTTCACCCCCTGAAGGTAATCTAGGTAAATCTTACTGATCCTTATCTTTCCTATGATGACTGAAGAACTCTAACTTCTCTTTAGACTGCTCATGACCATGGATCCTCAGCTCTGTTAAATCAGGGCCAGGCATTGCAAGTGCCAGGGGTTTCACTAGCCTGATAAGGATCTATCAAGTCACTGGGTCCAGGTAGGTACAGTAATTGTCCTATGAAAATCCCTACAAGGTTAGCCCAATGCTCTGGATAAATGTTGGACCCCTTTGTTGAATATCCTAGGCTATCGGTCTCTATGGTGGTTGATAAACCTTATCGCTAGGTAATCAAAATTTTACTGGGGAAATGCAGCAAGTGAGGCAATACCTAGGTCATTCTTCTCAAGGAGCCTAAAGTTGTAATTCAATTCTTAACAATTCACTTTAATTATCAAATTACCAAGGTGAAAGCTTCAGTTTCAGACAAGAGAAATTGAAACAAGAAACAAATCCAATGAAAGGTAAAATGCAAAAGAGATTCAGATAAGAGATAGTAGTTTCCCTAGCAATTTATCTAACCTTCCTTGTTCAATCTTATAATGTGGAGTCTCTCAAAGTCAATTAAATGGATAGATTCAACTACTGCTCAAATCTCTCTAAACACAAATTAAAAACAACTATCTTACTAGATTTACTGTCTTGCTCTGTAGAGAAGGAAAATCAATTGACAAGAACACTTGAGAGGCAAGTTGCAATTCTCTAAGGATGATCACAACTGTGAATCATCAATTCATTCAATCAAAATTCAGAATTACAGAACAACAGTCCAAGTAAAAATGAATTAGATCTACAAATCAACAGAGAATCCTCTACTCAACTGAATCAAGGACACAACTCACATCTGAATGTTCAATCAGATCTAAATTCCAAGAAACATAAATCTATCACTCAACCTTCATTCTAATCACAAATGTTTAACTGAAACAAATGAATCTTAGAATAGAAAGAAGAAACTAGATCTGAAAGGACTCCCTATTCAGCCCTATGAACTCAGGTCAGCTTCAATACTAGGAGAACTTGGAAATTCAGCTACTCATACTCTGAATTGGAGCAGAAACAGCAAGAATCAATGAAAGATTCATAGATGATCGATGGAAAATGATGGATTTGGACGAAAATGGAAGAGAGAATTGAGAGAAGGCGGAGAGAACAAGAAAATCGACATCTGGAGATAATGAAGAACTGAATCTAGCTGTCTTGGTTGTAGCACGCGACTCTGTATTTAAATCTGAAATTTTATGTCATCTGCCGTGGTGCCTTTGTCCATCCGCCGCGGCTCCTAACCTATACGGTGTCGTTTCACTTAGTGATCCTGAGCTCCATGTAAACTTCGGTCCACCGTGGCGCCTCTGATCATTCGCCGCGGTGCCTCTGATCGAGAGTACCTTTGGAAATCCGCCGTGGCTCCTTCCCAAATCCATCGTGGCACCTCAGACAGAATGGCGAAAAATGCTAGTGAAACTCCCTTAAATTCACACCAAAACAGGGATCAAAAGTACACACATATAAAATCATATAAAAACATGCAAAAACACCTACAAAACCTCACAATTCCTTTCACCAACTCTTATGCACAATGAAAGCTAATTATACCCAAAGTATACAAATATAAATGGCAAAAGCATGAGTTTAGAGTTAGAAATATATGCAAATAATGAGACTTATCAACTCCCCCACACTTAGCTTTTGCACTCCTGGGCAAATCAGGTCTAAACATAACGTGAAAGAGAAGGATGAGAGATAAGGAATAAGCAAGCTTGAAAGTTCAGGTTACAACTGCAACCAACAATGATTCTTCAACCAACATCCATCCATGGAACATTCTAATGCAAAGAAATCAAGCAATGATATGTAATTTAATCTAAGTGAATAAGATATAGAAGACCACACAAGGGAATTAGTATATCACTCAACTCACAAGTATTAAGGGTTCTTTCACTCAATTCACTTATTCAAATGCTCTACCATATGCTTGTAATAGCTCTACCTTTTCACCACTTAAATACATAAGTACTCAAGAATCAAGAGGACTTTTGTGGCTTGTAATGTAAAGGTAGGGAAGAAATGCACAAGAATGCATATGAGGGTAGAGATAATATGTGAATCAAACGTGTAGAATTCAATAGCATTAGTAATGTTCAATTTAAGGTTTGATTTCTTGATCTTGAATTCTAAAGCTGTAAAAGTGCTTTTATTCCCACTTTCTTTTCCTTTCTTGCTTTTTCATTTCTCTTCAACTTTTCTATTCTCTTTCTCTGTTTTTTTTTCTTTTACATTTCGCATGTTTCTTCTTTTCTTTTTCTTTTTCTTTTTCTTTTCATTTTTTTTCCCACACTCAAGTTCAAGTATGCATTTCCTCATATCAATCCATCAATTGAATTCATCATAATGCTAGTGAATTCTGAAAAGAATGAATGAAATGAAATATGCACCCTTGTAGAAAGAAGTTTTATAAATGAGAGTGAAATGAATGGAAAAATTCAACTAAAAGGCTCAAATGGGTAACAAGGGATAAATCATGTAGGGTTTAGCCATTTGGTCTAAGTAGCTAATTTGAATGAATGCCTCAATCATGTTCAAGAGTACTAATGTTACATGTGGTCTTGATTAAGAACTAAGATAAGTTCTAGAGAGCATAAGAAATAAGTGAATGCACACACCAGAAATGAATATAAAGGCCCAAAGAATCCTTCCAACTAGGCTTTGTCTTCCATATTCATTCACTTCAGCTAAAGAACACATCATGCTTAATCTCTATGCATTAGAAAATTTCACCTCAGGATATTAATTTCTGATTCAAAATCAATCACAATTGTAACATTAGAATTCCTGAGCAAGCTTAAACCTTCAAAAAGTTGTTGAAAAACTGAGGTTTTTACAAAAGACACAAAACACACAGAAAACACAACATTCACTCCCCCACACTTGATCCTTGCATTGCCCTCAATGCAAATTTGAACAAAAGATAAGCAAGGAAAAATGGTAAAGGAAAGAATGGAAAGAAACAACAGAACACTTCAAAATAAACTAAAAACAACCTACACTTGCTACTAGTCATGCCCTTCCCCCACACTTGTTTAAAAATGGAGTTCAAGAATGATAATAATCAAATAAACACAGACTAAAGTATGGGAGGTAAGGAAGGGGACAACCTAAGATTATGGTGGATCAAAATTCTCCTTGTAAATTTTGAGCAGGTGGCCATTGACCTTGAAAGTCTTACCGCTCATCTCATCTAGCAACTCTATCATGCCAAACTTGTGCACTTTAGTGAGCAAGTATGGTCCTTCCTATCTGGTGCTCAACTTCCCAGGTTTAAATGTGAATCGTGCCTTGTACAGCAACACTTTATCTCCAACCTTGAAAGTCTTCCTTAGGATTTGCTTGTCATGAATCATTTTCGTCTTCTCCTTGTAAAACCTGAAATTCTCATATGCTTCAAGTCTCAATTCTTCAACTTCCTCCAATTACAATAATCTTTCCATGCCAGCAGAATCAAAATCAAGGTTACATGCTTTTACAACCCAAAGAGATTTATGTTCAATTTCAACTAGTAGGTGACACATTTTACCATAAACCAACCTATAAGGAGACATGCCTATGGGGGTTTTAAATGCAGTTCTATATGCCCACAAAGCATCATCTAATCTGGCACTCCAATCCTTCCTAGATGGTTTAACTATTCTTTCCAACACCTTCTTGATTTCCCTATTTGCATTTTCAGCTTGCCTATTACTTTGGGGATGATAAGGTGTGAATGTCTTATGCGTCATACCATACTTAGTGAATAACCCTTGTAGCAAGTTATTACAAAAATGAGTGCCATTATCACTAACTACTGCTCTAGGAATGCCAAACCTAGAAAAGATGTTATTTTTCAGAAATTTTGAAATAGTGGTAGCATCATTCTTTTTGGTTGCTATGGCCTCTAACCATCGTGAAAGGTAATCAACTGCAAGAAGGATGTATGTAAAACCCATAGAAGGAAGAAAGGGGCCCATGAAATCAATACCCCATACTTCAAACACCTCACAGAAAAGCATTAGGTCTTAGGATAATTCATGTTTCTTAGTTAAGCTACCAAATCTTTGGCAAATATCACAATTCTTGCAATACTCATAAGAGTCTTTAAAGAGTGATGGCCAATACAAACCAGCTTCCAATATTTTTCTTACAGTCTTGTTAGCACTAAAATGACCTCCACAAGTTTGAGAGTGGCAAGCATATAGGATGTCTTGAAATTCTTCATTTGGCACACATCTTCGAATGATTTGGTCGCTGCATACCTTCCAAAGGATTGGAGGGTCCCAAATATAGTGTTTAGATTCACTCTTAATCTTCTGCATCTGAAAATGAGACAATGAAGAAGGAATTAGACCAGCAACTAAAAAGTTGACAATGTGACAATACCAAGGTTCCATGAGAGACAATGCAGAAACAGAACAATCCTTAAACTCATCACAAACAAAATCT